AGGCCGCGTCATCCCTGCCTGCAGGCAGCCATGGCTGTGAGGAGGGAGGCAGGGCGGAGGAGAGGAGGCTGTGGTAGCCATCTGCCTTCCCCAAGCCTGCAGGCTCGGCAGAAGGGTCTCCCTTGCCCCAGGACATCCCTGGGTGGGCTGGTGTGATGCAGCCACCACCATCCCTGAAAGCACAAGCAGGAGCTCATGCCCCAAAAATCCTTCCACATTTTTGGCGTGGCAGCAAATGCCTCTCCTTCCCAAGGATGCTGTGGAGCCCCAGAGCACTTGGACAGGACCACTGAGGGAGGGGAGGTCTCCAGCCCATCTCACCATCTGCGTGTTGCAGATCTATTCACTATGGTCCCACAAGATTTCGTCTCCCTCCACCTCAGCTAAAGAGCGTCACCCACTCCCAGGGATCCCCTCCATGCTCTGCTGCTGCGATGACGGTGCTTCCTAAAGCTGTTTTGCATCAGATAACAAATACTCTTCCTTTTGCTCATCCGTGCTGTCATGCTGGCAGTATTTATAGGCTGCGATCATATCTCTGCTCGATTCTCCTTTCAGTCTCTTCCCGTGCACCTTATCAGTTCTACTTATCATTTTAATGCACTTCTTGGTATTTTTCCTGAGGCTTCTTCGAGCACCATTCCTCTCCTCTGAGGATGCAAACAGCTGGAGGAAAAGCCTCCCTGTTTACCTGCACTCCAGCCCTTGTCAAACTCTGATCTTCTTAGAGCTAATCAGCTTACCCAGCCGGGCTGGCACTCGGACAAGAAACCTGCCTGGAAACCCCGCAGAATTCAGGCATAGCAAGAGTTCAGCGCGGATGAAAGCCCGAAACAGGGAAAACAAGACCCAGGCAGCAGCTTCCAGTGATCTCATTTCAAAATGAATTCAAACTGATCTCATTCTGAAACACCAACTCCCTCGCCCCGCGTCGCTTTGCTGCACAAAGCCATCCCACAGATTTTAACTACCCCAATTCACCACAGGTACCCCCTGCCCTGGCCCGGCAGGTACAATTATTTATACATAAATACATCGTGTGCAACCAGGTTCACATCCTCACGTGTGAGCAGTGGCTTCTCAGTAAGACTTAAAGCACTTTTGAAACCTGTTTGCATGCCAGTCCATCACCACGCCACGGATGGGACCCTCCATGGAGGGAAACCACAGGGGGTCACCCCAGCAGTCCCTCAATTCCCCTCCTTCATCTCTTATGGAGGGAACTGGGAGGGAAACTACCACTTGTGTGGCCTGCTGCTCTTCTGGCCTCTTCACCCCTGTGGTAAGGGGAAAACGCGCTTGGACCAGGAGGGATGGACCAGGGTGGATGGACCAGGAGGGATGAACCAGGGCAGATGGACCAGGAGGGATGAACCAGGGCGGATGGACGAGGAGTGAACGCACTTGAACCAGGAGGGATGGACCAAGGGGGAATGCACTTGGACCAGGGCTTTCCACGCTGGCAGAGCCAGTTGGACATGAACTTTTCTGTCTCATACATAAATCAGTCTCGATGGCTTTCTTAGCAACCGGATCAAATTGCACTCGTTTACGGGAAACTGTGGCAAGACGCTGCTGCTCACAACCCGAGGCTCTCCGCTTGCCGTGCAGGTTTATTTCTGCACCATCTCCCAATCCCCCCGTGCTCGCTGTCCTTTGGCTCGGCTCTCCTGCGGCCCCACTTAATTTACACCTTCACCAAGGCTGACAATCCACCAAATAACCACATAACTCCTTATTTCTTGCACAAAACAACGCAGGTGCAGACCATACCATCCCTAAAACCTGGACTGATGAAGTTCTTCAGCTGGTCTTGCTGTCAACTGCTAAGAATCTAGTTTCTAAACCATGATATTGTTACTTAAATAGAAGCAATACGTTTACACACAGCACTATACGAACTGGCTCTCTGAAATCCAAGCGTACCATATCTGATTGCACAACCTGTAGCTGCTGCGTCAGTCACTTTGCTTGGTTGGCCCGCGCCGTTTTGGCCCCCAGCCATAACCACGCAGACGCAGGAGTGGTCTGGATTTCTTGCTCAGTGGATCGGCGAGATGACTCACGGATGGGAAATGACTCACAAATATCTCCTGGCCCCTTCGAGCACTTACGACCATGGCTTTGCACATACCAGCACTTTTTAGGTAACTACAGGCCTACGACCTGCGATTTCTCTGTCCATCTTTATCCTAATTAAAGTGCATGCTTTGAAGGCTTTGGATAGGATAACTATTCCCCTCCTGATACAATCTAAATCCCTCATTGCCAGAAGGGATGGCCCCACTCTCTCCTCTGTGTCCCCATCCAGGCCATCCCTCACCGTCCCCGGTGTCACCACCAGCCCTTGTGCAGCTGGAGGCCCTTTGCCAGCAGCAGAGTTGGCTCAGCCCAGGGGGAAGAGGTGCCCATCTTCCATTAGGACCCCATCTTGGGCCATAAAACACCATTTATTTTAGTGGCAGCAGCAGCTGAAGCAGCCCCGCTGTCCTGTGCCCCACTGCTCTGCATCCCCATCCCCAGCTGCACCTGTATGGCTCGTACTGAACGCAATCCGGATTAAAAAGAACCATTTCTGGCTAGGCTATTTTTCATTCAAGTCAATGCCATGAGTCCCACAAGCTGCACAGAATCATTAAGGTTA